AAGTGTTAATGCAGGTAGATGTCCCGATTGTCAGTCAAAGTGGATGTAAAAGAGCTTATGGATCGTCAATCCACGACTCCATGGTCTGTGCTGGACTCGATCGTGGAGGCAAGGACTCGTGCCAAGGAGATTCCGGTGGGCCACTGGTTTGTGAAGATGGTGGAAAGTTCTACTTAGAGGGTGTGGTTTCATGGGGAAGTGGTTGCGCCTCCCCAGGGAAGTATGGTGTCTACGCCAGGGTCCGTTACTTACGGCAATGGATTGACAAGCAGATGAATACCTATTAGACAAAGTCTTATGCACAATAAAAGGCATTCAAAACCACGAAAATGTGTGTTTTCGTCTATTTATTGAGTATACTACAATTTATTTTCATAATTTGGCAATTGATGAAAAGTTAAAAATCAAGAATTATGATGCTAAAACTTTGATGATAATTGATTCGGTCTCATTTCTCGTTTGAAAATCGATGATCAGGAATCGAGAAATCATTTCCTTTACGTACCATAATCGAGAAAAATTAAGAAATAGAAATTGAGAATGTCCATCAGACAAATTGCTAATAGAATAGAGGAAAGTTCTCAAGACCAAGGCCTTCCTTACCTTTGCTGGTCCGTACCAGCGGCTAATGTACCATCTATTTTTTGTGGATTTTAAAAAATTAACAATCATCCTTTTAAATTTTAAGCTTAGTCATCGGTGCAAATGCCGTTTCTCTATAAGTTGTTGAAACATAGGTTTAAAACTGTTGTGGTATTGCTTTGAACCTCGAATCCTCGACAACCGGAAAGTCAACAACTTTTCCGAGAATTGTAAAATGCTACTAGATGATTTCATATTTTATAGTCTGAAACGAAAAGCAATGGTTAAACTATGTGTCGCACACGCAATGATGTCTCATGCAACTGTGGAAAATTACGCTTTAAGGACCTTTGAGCTACGTCACGAGCTTTAACTACGAACAGTCAAATTTACTTTCAATATTTTTCTTAGTTTTATTTGAGCCCACTCGCTAATTTATTAGCGCTAAGTAACCTGGCAAACGTCAGAGGTGACGTGTATTATAAATTGATTTAGAGAGGGTACTTTTGGATACCTTTGTAACTCAGAGCGCCTCTTAAGAACATTGATTTTAATCAATTTGTGGCATATATTAACCACCAATACTAAAGACCCAAAGAGTTCCCTAAATTATTTTACAGATGGGGTAAATTCATCTTTATTGCGCTAAACTTTTCGTTTGAATATGAAAGCGATCTTCTGCAGTTCTCTTATATTCACAGTCGTTTAGTATTTTCGTTTGAAAGGAGGAAAATCACAGATCAATACTCTGATTATTAGAAGAAGTTCCGTATATTATGCCAAATCTACAAAAGACAATTCTGAATAACTTAAATTCTCGCCTTCTTGTCATTCACACAATGTGATTTTCTTTCCTCAGGGGCAAATTATTTCAGGCCAAGGCGACCTTCTGAGAACAAAACAAAAGAGGTCGGTTTCTATTGAGTTACTCATTAACATAATGTAGTCACAAGACTGTAACAGCCAAACTTGTTTAATAAATAATTTGTGCCCAACGTAAATAGAAAAAACCTGAAAAAAGCAGAATCAAACAACAATGCCTTATTAGGTTATTTCGAATTGCCGTGATTCCCACTAGAGTAACCTTTCACAGTGAAAGATTAGGCAAACAGGATATAGTTTTGACCTAAAGGTTTAAAAAATTTGCATCTCTTCCGAAGCGAGACTAACACTCATCAGATGACTTGGGTATTAAGTTACACTAGGGAAGGATCATGGCACTTTCTTTACAACGGGCTTTTTATTTAAGTGTAATTTCCGTGGCTTGTTACCAGCGTGTACAAGCGTGTCTGGACGACAAAAGCTGCCCAGGATCCAAGACTTGTTGCAAAGGAGTCTGTAGATATAGCTGCACCTGCGAGGGTTCTAGCGATTGTGACTGGGATGAAAAGTGTTGCTCGAACGGACTTTGTAAGGACAGCTTCGAGCTGTGTCCCAATCCTTCATCTGCGCTTTTAATCATCTTGGCTGTGTTCTCCGGTGCCCTATTAGCACTTCTCTGCTTTTTTCTTACGTGCTATTTGATGGATCGCTGTCCGTGGTACAAACGGCGTATCGCACGGAGAAGAAGACTTCAAAGCGCCACGGTTCACCGATCACATCTACCGACATTATCATCAACAAATATGACACAAGAACTTCGCTTTCCCGAAGCGCCTCAGCCGTGTAAAATACCATCAACATCTTATTTACCACCTTTCACAGGAAATCCAACTAAATATTCAAGTTATACTGTGCCTCGAGCGAGTACGTCGATGTCTCAATCTCCGCCATTTATGCCGATCAAATGACAGTACACGAAAACGATAATATTCAGGTGACTTTTACGTATAAGTAAACTTTGGCGAACACCGCCTACTTCTGTACAGAAAGCAAGTGTTAAACAACTCTGCTTACGTTGTCTTTAAAGGAGAAAGAGAAAACCGAAAAAAGACGAATTTTGTTGTCAAAAATAGGATATTTTTATAAATGTGGAGTAAATTTACAGCCATCAGCGCAACAAGTTCCTGTGCGTTTATGTAAATATTATTCTTCGCTTTTGGAATATTCAAGGTCGACTGTTACTGCGAACTGTACTTCACAGAAAGCTTAACGTACAGTTGCACTTATGCAATCGTAATTACTACAGATGGTCTGGCTTGATTTCGAAATTTGTGTGATAATTCTCTCTCGATAATTTAAAATGTGAGAAATCGATGTGAAAGAATGGGCAGTCAATGGCGCAGTGCCTTGATTGTAATTTTGTACGGAATATAAGTAAAGTTTCAGCTTGGTTGATCAACACTTGAACAAGTCTAAATTTAAAAGAGGTGTTTGCTTTGATGCTAAAGAGGTATATCGGATCAACTGGAAAGGACTTCTAAAAACGACCCCACAAGTGCGAAAGTAAAGTTCTGTTGTTTACTGGAGAAGGTGCTTCTTTGTCTTGAACAGCGGGAAAGCGACCTAGGACTAAATTGACGTAAAATCATGTCTTCCATTGGTGAGTAGTTCGATTATTGAAGGGAAAGGAAAAAATTCTTGACCATTTGCAACAAATTGGAATGAGGTTTTCAACGTAGGAATTGATAAGATTTGTTTTATTTGCAACTTGGTGCGTAATCGACATGAAACTGGCTAGACAAAGGTTATTAATCATGAACCACTATTTCCGGGCCATTGACAGTTGCATGAACAATAGTATTCTGTCACATCTGCAAAATTTGCATAATTCCAAAAACAAAATCTCTTTGGCTAATATTATATAAAACTGTCACTGATCACCAATGAAACCATTTTTTAAAAAAATACGTTTCAGAATAGGACAAAATTCCATCATGACGGTCATTTTCCCTGATTGTTTGATATATAATAACGATACACTCTTTATTATTTGCTATGATTCCCAAGTCACTGGCTGGGGACCGGAAAACGTAAGATCAATGCCACATCCAACGTTGTATTTTCCAATAAACAAAGCCGGCCGCAAACAAATAGGGTTAAAATAATGAAACCACACGCCAATATTTTCCAACGTTTGTACATCAAGTTTCGCTGTTTTTACGATGTTTTCTTCTCGCAGCTGTTTCCCTGTTCATCAGCGATACACACTTTATTCCAATGAGTCTTCTTTCAAGTCCAAATCATGTTTGGATTAAAAACAAAACAAGAAAAAAAAGACAAAAACAAAACACTTGAGAGCAAAAGAAAAATTTGCATTTTTGGATTTAAAGAAATATTAATTTTGGCTTGTCCTTGAGCTCAACTTCGCTTCGCATCAGAAATGGCTCTCTTTGGTAATTGTCAACTTTCCTCGAAAAATGTCCTTGAAAAACGACAGTCGTTCTCGTAACTCCTGAAAGAGAGTTTGAACACGAAAGGTGGCATTCAGTCCCTGAGTTAAGTTTAGCAATTCCGCATTTGAGGTCACCCGCTTAATATCAGTAAGTCATGCTATAACTTAAAGCTTCGACATAAAACAATTTCCGTGAAATTGATTTTGTGAAAGCAATGTGGACCATATATATTATGACCTTGCTTTATTCATTTTTTTTTTCGGTCAAGATCGTCCAATTTCTTTTCCATTCTCGGCCATCCTCGGAGAAAAAACATTCATCACAAATCTTCCTTCTCTCTTTTGGTGCATGTCCCCTCAAAAGTCTCGGAGTTTCTTCGTTTGCTACTGCTGTTGTCTGTCAGACGAACCTGGGTACTTCGATTCATTCCATGACGCCAATATAAATTCCTCTTTGTCTGTGATATTCGGCGGGATTTGCGACTACAATAAACATGTCGTAATATCGTTATCAAAGTGAAGAAGGAGAAGAACTGTAAAAGAGACGATCAAAACAATGTTTATCTTAATAGAACCTCTAAAAAAATCCTGGGGATAGATTAACTCCCAAGGCTTCCAAACAAAAAGCCTATCAAATACAAGAAGGGGGGTTGGGGAGGGGGGGGGGGGGGGGTAGGGGAGGTTTTATTGAGAATATTGAGACTTTACGGAGAGCCAAAATCCGAGTATAATTTGGTTGAACACCTTTCAACGAAAGCTTGTACAGCCTCTCAAACACAAATACATTTAACAGCAACGCAAGCAAACTCCAGCAAATAAGACCAATAACAACAATTTTGCACGCCAACGCTGGCGGATTGTCAGATTTTCAAAATACGCCAAGGCTGTTTATCTACTTTGAGCTTCCGCTTAGCTTTACTAGATATTCAACGAAGTATTTCACTTTCAAGCCCGACGCAAGCATGCCGTCATTATTGGACGACCAGCCCCATATCTTGTCGTACAGAGAATGTCATCCCAACTCAGCATGAATATCTAACTAATGGTCTTCTCTGTGCTGTTGGATTCTTCGACAACGAATCACAACACGACTTGAAATTGTCTGATCGAGCGACGCAGCAAGCGACAGACTTTTTAGAGAACAAAAGTACAGGCTTATTGCTAAATAACTGAGATTTGTAGCACATGCTGTCTTGTCAAAACCATATCGATTATTACACCAGCGGAAAAACTATCGAGGCAAAAGACCATATTTTCTATCGGTTTACTGGCTTATTAATCCACTTGGAAATAAAGTTGGTCTAACGATAAAAATGTTCGAGTACAACCCGTCTTGGACAGTAAACAAACTTGATATTGTTTTTCTGGTGCTTTCATAACATCTCGCGCAGGTGATTTCTCAGTAAACCGACATGACGTGTGATCTATTTTAAAGTGGATTTGTGCGAATAGCTTGAGTTATGATATCATGAACACTATTATCGGTAAACTAAGCGGACTGTCCGTATTTTATGCACGATTTTTTGACGATAAAAAACGCAGGGTTTGGTAAGGTAGGATAAATGCGTTAGAAATTACATTCGTCAATCCATATTATTTTCTCTTTTTTTCAATGATCAAAAAAATTTCTTCATTGAAATCTCACATCACAAGTAAGAATAGAAATTTTCCCTCTAAAGTGCAAGTACTTTGCCTCCTTCTACTCCAAGGAAAGGCCAAATTGAAATTTCTTTATGAAATGTCATCACATTTTCGAGGAGAACTGAGGCAGATGGGTGGAAAAAAAAATTGGGATTCTATTCAATCTCAACTCTAAATAGGTATAAATTTTTGTTGAAATCCAGACAATTTCCCTGTGAAGTGTCAGTTCCTGAAAGACTTTTTCAGTGTGATCAACTTGGATCAACTTGCGTTTAAATTGCTCCGCCATGTTTGAACTTAAACGAAAGAAGACTATATATGCTGGATCTTGGCCAAGAGCGTGTTTTTACGCTTTTATGAACCGAGAAGAAGTTGAAATTGTCCCAAAATTTCAAAATTTGAAAGTCTGCCTCGCAATTTTTTTTATTATAGGGCAAGATCAAAACGGTTAATCCCGCGGGGACAAGATGGGCCCATCTTCCCACTCAGGTAGCCAAACAGAACATTGGATTTGCTTCATATGGCCCACGGGCGCTGCGAGCTATTTTAAGTACCCGAACGTACAATAAAATATGTTTATTCTATGAAATATCACTTATTGTACGTTCTGGTTCGCGGTGTAAACTCTCAAGAATTTGTGGTTGTGTGGGTGGTTTGCTCCCCGACCCTTTCAGGATTCATTCGTTCGTTTAACGTAATTTTAGGCTCCTCTAATTTGTTACCCACGCTAAGCGTCGTGGTAACCATGGGGGCCATACAACTAACGCGGGCTTTTAAATGAATCATTCATTCACATTGCAGCCTCAGTTATCATGAGCAAAGTGTAATATTTTGTCACTTGGTATCGCAACCGCACCGACTTGCATCCAGTAACAGTTATCAGAGTTTCTAAAGAAAAAAATTCGGAAAGGAAAAAAACCATTTGATGCAATCATTCCACAAAAGATTTATTACACCAACTTATACTACGTCATACGATTTCTGAAAATAAACTTGTAGGGTATGGTCATTGAAAGAAATTTACAACTGTGTTTGTAAATAATAGCCAGGTTACTCAAACATTTACTAAGTTATTGCCAAATCGAGCAGTTAAAGTTGTGTATCCAAAGGCCTCATGTCTTCCACAGTGATAAAGATTTGCGTGTATTGGAATTTTTTTCCCCCTTTGCACAGACTTGGCAAAGGATAATGAACGGAAGCAAAATTAGAATTTGTGCATGCTTTTTTTTTTTTATCATCGTGTACTTTAATTCAACTCTTTTTCTTTTTTCTTTTTTTACTTAAGTGCGGAAAAATCACCTCATCGACACTTTGTTGCCAATTGGGAAGCAGGCTTTCATGTAGTACCACTTTAACTGTAAAATCGACCATAAGATTAGAGATCTAGAATGACTCATCATTGCAACGACAAATAGTCGCGGAAGGTTTTGAAAAATGTTGATATTAAAAGGAGATCATGTGAAGTAAAAATGAACATGAGAAATTCAATTTTAAAACATTTAACGTATTATTTTATCGAATATAATGATGCAGATGTCCATTCTGAGTCGTCTAGGTTCTGATAAAATAAGCCACTTCCTTTCCTCATTATATTGAGCAATATAACTGAGCATGCGGCTGAAGCATGTGAGCTCCGATTTAGCAATGAAAGCAAAAGCCAACGTAAAGTGCCGTGCGGAAATTAGAAGCACAAACTACTCAAAATGATACCACATGTGCCTGGTGACTCACATGTAGATAGGTCTGGTGCAACACCTTTCCTGGATTCGTTGTCTTTGGGTTTCTCACAGAGTCTCATTCCATGTTTCATTCAAAAATTTTAAAGAGTGGTAACACAATAGACGCAGTTCCGAGATCAATTTTTCTCATAAGCCAATCCTTAATTAACGACCACGATATGGCAATAAAAATGTATTTTTTTATTTATTTTTTTTATCAGATAGAAATGTCGTACCTCAATTTCTAAAATATTGAATTCTAAGACGGATCTTTTAAGTTTCTAATACACTTTCGAAATGTAACATAATTGTGGAAGTGTTTTTAAGACTTTAGATTATTTTGCAACTGTCCATTTCCCCACATCTCATGTCTCCATACAAGAACATTTGTCGCAAAACCGTCCTAGCCACATTAGAAATTAACTGCACTCTTTTTTAATCTCGCTCAGTTACATTTTTTGATGCTTATAACCCCATAAACAAACCGAAAATTCTTAAAATGCATGGAAAAATGATTTAAGTCTGACGCTGATATGGTGTTACTCAACAGAGAAAACTGCATTAAAAAAAATATCAGAAGAGGAGCAAGAGGGTTTTGTTTGGTTATTTAGCTCAGGCGCCGTATAGAGAAACTAAAAACATGTTCTCGCTTTTCTCTCACACTACCTTTACAGCTTCACGATGTAGTGATCCCAAGTTAAGTGATGCACGATATAAGCTGTTTTTTTTTCTTTATTAGCAACCTCTTGGGTGGTGAGAAGGTCAAAGCCAAGTACTCCAGTGAGTGATAGAGAGAATCTCCTGAAACCAAGCGGCGACTTTGTTGCTTTTCAATTTCAACCGACTGCATTACTTGTACAATGAAGCTGCCAAAGAGAAGTGTCCTGTTGCTTTCCATGGATTCTGTCAAACAACTCCTAGGCGACGCCGTTGCTGATTCGCATACACTGGACACGACGAATGGTTGATGCAAATACAAAGAAGCAGTGCGAAAGAAAATAGAAGAGAAAGAGGTATGGCTATCGCAAGCTTGGAAGACAGCGAACATAGTGACATTTGCGAGATACATTTACCGCTACCGCAACACTTTTCGCCGGTGGCACAATCGTTGTTCTTTTTGCAGGCAGTTGTTATGTTGCAACTTTGAAGACAAGTTCCATTGCAGCATTTCGTGTTTGAACCCATCTGATTGCAAACTGTGTGATTCTCACAAAGAGTCGCAGAACTGCCCAAACGAATGATCAACACTAAAGTCAAAACTTCAAGTAAGATGTTCCTTTTTGCACTCATTTTGAATAGATTTGTTCGAAATGAATAAACAAATCTCTACCCACGATGTTACTCTTAGTTACGTCGACGTCATCATCGACGTTCGTGACAATATATTTAAAGTACATGAAGTAGACACCACCTGCGTTGCCTGACAACGGTAGTAATTATATCAAAGATGAGCCAGCATGAGGTTGCAGTTTTCCGCTTCATTCGTTGCCCATAGTCAAGTTCAATTGAAGTATACCGCAATGTCATCGGTGACGAGGTTCAACTGTTCCCAAAGCGGTTAATTTCATAGCAAAAATGAAGATTGCAACACAAAAGCTTGTTTCCTTTTCTGAAGCGTCTGAGAGCGCTTGCTTCTTATCGCTTTTCTAATCTTGTTAAAGCACAAGACTGCAATCACGCATTACGCTTGAAGACCACGGAAAAAGGTTATAAATTGATAGCCCGAGGCGACTGACTTACTGCTACAATACAATGGACTGGAGCTTTTCCATTTATCTGAGCGAGCTTAACCATTAATTTCACAATTTTGAATGTCTTCATATTTCCACGCGCGTGATAGATTCCCGTGCTTGTTTCCCTTAAAGACAAACCATGCCGAAATATTCTCAGTCCTCCTTCCTATGTTTGTGCGAATTTTTTGCAAAATTTCCTAACTTAGAAACACGTTTCATTTCCCTTTTCGGTTGACGATTTTTCGAAATTAATTGTAAGAAACGTTTCCTCGCACGCAGTTATCGTGAACTTTCGGCTTGAAACCTGCATTAATTTAAAAAGGAACGGAGAAAAGACCTCCGTAAAGAGGAAAACTTGAGATATTTTTTCAAGGAGGTCAATAAAGAAGAAACTCAGTGCGTGTCATGGCCAAGTGATATCTCGTTATTTTTAAGAATGGGTATTCATAATATCAAGAAACGGTGCAATGAAAAACTAACACGATATATTTTGGCAGCAAGCAAGATACAGCTTTCCTCACTTTAAAAAATTCTTTATCGATATGTTACAACAAGGAAACGCTTGTGTACCAGAAAAACTGATTATTACAAATTGCCTCTCTCATAAATGTTCATTATTATTCTTAGTTACTTGAGGCTAAGAGCTGAAGTAAGTAAATCAGCAAATGGATTTGACCACTTAGGTTAGAAATTCAGATTCTTTCCTGGCAGCTAACTAAACACGTTTTAACGAGTCGTTTTTCTGAAATAGAACCCAATAAATAGACGATCTCAAAACTCTCGTTCAACACTTAACGCCATTAGTTCATTTTGTGCGAAAATTCTACCGAAAAAAAAAAGGGGTCCGCATTTTAAATAAATTATGGATCAATGGATGATATAGACACTGTCGTCCTTAACAAGTATGGGATACAATCGCCATTCTTCGCTGTTTTAACAATTCCTCCGGCACGGCAGTAGGTAACGGAAGACTGGTGACAAGAGCTGAAGCATCTTCGCCCCAGCTTTTCCCCACAAATAGAGGGCAATTGAAAAACGGCAAATCGCTTTGCAGTTTTTCAACTTTGGCTGATGGCGCCCGCGATCTTATAACCTCCACAGGCTTTAACCAAACGATTGGCAAATCGCAAATGTCACGTGACTCAGGTGCTTCAATGATACATCTGCGACCGCCTTCCCATGATGCTCCACTCAGTTTCAAGTCTCTGAGAAATATACCACGATCTGGTGGAGAAGTGGGAGAGAAATTTGGATCCATTATCTGCGAAAGGAATGAAAATGCGTTTTATCATTTGAGAGCCCTGCTTTCACAAAAAGGCCAATGGTGTCTCTCCTTCCAACCACAATCCTCGTCAAAGTTTGTCGAGACACTCCGCTACCGTTTTTTTTTTTTTTTTAATTTTTTTTTTTTACATTGACCAGAGAGGAAAGGGGAAATGTTTTAAAAATCGTGACGAGGACTGTGGCTAATGTAATTCTTTTTAAAAAAAAGTATCTACAAGAGCTATTTAGCCATTCTCTCTTGTGGCTGCTCTAAGTTACCAGGAAACTACTTTAAGAGAATTTGGTGTTACATTCCGATAAAATCCTTGCAGCCGATTAGCTTGTAGCTTTCCGTTAACTGGTCACTAAAAATGACTTGATACTGTATGGCGAAGTGTCGTTTCGAACCCATATTCGGTCGATTCGTACCCAGCTTGAGTTGGTTCCTACCCGAACTGATTGGTATCCATCCTAATTAAAGTGTTATCACTTTTAGGAGATAAGGGATAAAGCGGTAATTGCGAAATTATTACCTCAACCGAAAACTCCAGAACGTATACAGATTTCATTGCAGAGCGCGCATGAGCCATAAGTACACATGCTAGAAACGCCTGAGGATGAGCAAACGCCCCAAGCCAATACGAAGAGGGCTGAAGAGACGAAGGCAATGAGTACGAACAAAGAGCTTTCACTTGGGACTCCAGGGCTTTTAACCACTCAGCTAGACTCATATCCCGGGTGCTGCCAAGTAGCCATTTTGACGGAGCAGCATAGCGTCCTAGCGACAACGCTATGTTATACAGATCTGGAGTAAAGGCGACATGTCCACTGCACGCGTTAATAAAGAGTTCAATCTCTCTCGAAGTGCTTTCGTAGAGATTTTGGAAGTAAAGGAGTTCTCGCTGAATAAATGACCCAATAGCCGTGGTTTCTTTACTCGCCAAATCGTGTGACTTGATCAAGTCTAAAATGTTTGTGAGTTTATTCAGCGTTTCCTCAGCAACCGACTTCACATGGGTTTCAATCGAAAGGGCGGTAGGTTGGTATCTTGCGCTGAGCGCCAGTCGTTCCGCGAGAGCACTGCAAATGTGACATGAAATCGGTTAAAAGCTCAACTATTGTAATATGAGTTAAAACCCCAACGTGGGAAGTGGGAAATAATGGCTGAGGCCAGAAAAGATTGGATTGTACATGAGCAGCTTGTAACAGTGACGAACCAATAGCGATGCACAAACCTGCTGAGTTTGGACTGGTAAGCTAAACTGCACACATCACTCAGACCAAGTTGCTGACACGATAACGCTTCAGGTAAATCTTCCACGTACTTCTCGATTTGTTCATATGTTGATGTCTCCTGCACAGAATTCTAAAAGAAAATTAGATGAAAGCTGTAAAACAAAACTCGTCAAGAAGTTGAACCGTCCTACATTTTCGATGATTTACATAGTAAAGAGGAGCTCAATACGTTTGGAATACTTCACATTGTGTGGGAAAGAGTGAATATGAGGAAAATATTAGGAGTTTACCTTGGCGAAAGGCTTGATTGGACCATGGAAAAGTTAAGTTGGAGGAGATATGTCTATTTACTTCGAAGCTACTTTAAAATGCAACACGGATATTTTCTCAATGCAAAGAACAGAATTAGAGTGTTTACGAGCGAGAGGTAGACTTCTCTAATGAGAAGAAGCAGATATAACCATAAACGGATAAAAAGCAACAGTGATCAAGTCTGAATAATTTTACAGATGGGGAGGACGACCTAGTTTAAAACAGTCTCGAGAATCAGTCAACAACCAAACTAAATCCACACACCATTTTCAATTTTTCAGTGGCAACTGAGTTCGCAAGGGACCTCACAGCATCCAAATCAAGGCCATTTGTCACGTGACCACCGTAAGCAGTATATCCCAACATGACTTCCACAGCTGCAAGCGGCAACGAACCATGACTAGCACGTGACAGATGACGTAAAGCTTCTAATCCTGCTAACAAATCTACCTGAGACCTAGTGAAAATTACGTGGGGAGACAATTAAAAAATTTATGATTTTAAAGTTTTATGCCAAAATTAGGGCAAATGAACTAACAACATTATTATAATTATTATCAGTTATTATTACTATTATTGTTAATTTTATTATTGTTGTTACTAAACATAGGGAGACTTAAAAACAGTGATATAGCAGTTTCAAGGTTCAAAACAATACAATGATCGGAGAAGTTCGCTTCCTGTGCGAAAAACTACGATAACGAAACATTGGCCTACCATTGATATGGACAGCTAAAGGAATAATTTCCAAATTTTCTCCTTTGGAGAAGCAAGGTATGAAGATATGCCAAGGTGAAAATCGCGCCGGGAGGAACATCACTCTATCAAATGGAAACAAATACAAGTTAGAGACAAATCCTGAAATGGAGGTGCCGTATTTCCTGGAATAAGCACCCAGGCGCCTATGTAAAAAATTGGCTCAAAGGAGAGGCGTTTATTGGAAGGAGGGCGTACGAAAAAAAAAAAATAGGATATGCGTGACATTTATTGTGCTTGAATTAACAAAACACCCAGCATCTAGATCCTTTACCATAAAAACTGATCCCTTTGCTGCTTCTCCCCAAAGAGGTACGCCATTATTCAGTGATCCTGTTGCCACTTGACAATTTGTCCTGACCGCGTTTCCAAAACTCTCCTGCGCCTCACACGCCAATTTGAGCCCTCGGTGTATAATGACAGCAGGCAGCGGAAAACCGATATCCGTACGGGTGGTCAACCACAGCCGGAATTCGGGATGGACAAAAACATCTTCAGCCGAACCGTTTTCCGCATTAGCATCGCTGTTATTTTCGATATTGTGCCACTCTAAGTCGCCTTCAGTGTCGATCACCGGTAAATTAACCATTTCCTGCGAAAAATAAACATTGTGAACAAAATAATTTAGTTAAACCGAGGAGAGGCTTTCAAAGAAGCCAGAACACTATCACCACACCAAGAAAAAAATTGTATTTTCTTACACGCGCTCAAAGACAGGCATCCTCTGACGAAAACATGATGAACGTTGATAAACGTCCGCTCTGCTTTTCTACCCTTCCAACTTTACAACACAAGAATTATTTCTTGGCATTCCATTCTTTCAACTACAAGTAATTATAATGTCTTTCGTTCCCCTTGGTGATAACACCCACAAGAATGGAATTTCGCCACGAAATTTGGGGCAATATGCTTTGCTCCCAGGAAAAAATAAACATATTTATAACGTTATTGGGATTTCGTTTGCACGCAGACCTCAATTTCGTGCATGAGCTCGTCAGACCAACAGGCCGCCAGATGACAGTTTTCAAGAATAACCCAACATCCAGTGTTTAAACCACGCTTCACAGCCTTCAGTGCCTTCTCCATACCGTCTTTTTCACCGAAGGTAACCTTTAAAAGAGGCGTGTCTTTTCCCCGTGCACGGGCAAGGTTAACTACATCGGTTACTGGATCTGGAAAACAAAACATAGTTTGACAGTCATAGGAAGCATTTCCTTACCAACGGAAACATTGTCAATAGCTTCGTTTATGGTACATCGTTAAAAATTCAACTGAAGCAAACAGGTTTACACCTCCTCTTCCACTAATGTTGCCAATTTGTCATGCCGAAAGTTTCCCCGATAATCACAAACTTGACTTCTTGATTCGAGAAAAACCTGTAAATCCGGCAGAGGGCGAATCATTTACAAGCTTTCGAGCATCCCAAGTGGGCTATTGCGCAAGTGAACCGATAAAAAGTGTGGTCTACTACCATTATGAAATAGTTATGAATGGAAAAAAGGATGACAAAGACGCCAATAGTTTTAGTTTTTTAGTTTTAGTTTAGCGCGAGTTTTTTAAAACTAATCACACAAAGAAATAAATCGAAATAAAGGGAATCCTGGGTTATCATCGACACTCAGTTGAAATTTTCTCCAGCACATCACCCGGGAAGGGAAAACACCCTAAGGTGGTCGCTTCATTCTAAAGAGACTGAGAATCACTTAGTTGTTCAACCTTAACAATGACACTTAAAGTTCTCTGCTTCTAAATAATTTCTGACCGTATACCTTCCACTGTAACATTTTACCTTTGAGCACAGTTGCCTCTCCTTGCTCAAGAATGTTCTGTGAGGGCAGCATGAGGACCGCTGGTCGAGGCCGATTGATGACATCGCATACTTGGCTCAGGTCGTAGCCCAAGGGCCGGATCATATTGGCTCCCATTTGATAGAGAACGATCTCTTGGCAAACATGGAATAACTGTAACCGACATAGAAATAAACAGACCCATCGATCAATAAATAAAGCAACAGGTATCGAAAATGCGAGAAAACCTACATTGAGAGCGATTACAGAACCCACCTGATCTCGTTTGAAGGTTTTCCAAAGCAAAGCTTTCTGAAAGATGGTCAGATGATTGTAGTCACCAGGAGTGACACTGAGAAGTACAGGAGGCAGCTGCAAAAGGAAAATGAAGACTGACGAATTGCCGCAAAAAATCAAAGCTGTTTCGAAATTTTCAAACGTGATTGATTATCGCCAACCCGAAAAAGTGCGTACGCGGCATACCTGTGTAATTGTAAAGTGCACGTCATGTCCGCGAGCTGTTGTCGTGCATTCCGCCGATTTAACTTTTGTTTTTATATATAAAAAAGTATAACCAATGGCTAATTTTTTTCAAATCAAATCTTGTCATCGTTTTGATTAATTGTTAGCAGGACCCTGTTTAGTTTAATTCCGTCTGCAATCATACTCGTAATTAACAAATCGGATTCCCACTTCGCGGTCGTTCAACTTTGTCAATCACTGGTGTGATTACAGACAGAATTGGAACTCCACCCATTCCTATTGCCATTACTTATTTGATGTCAGATTTTTGTTCAAAAAACAAAACGCAAAAAAATTATAACTAAAGCAACAAAACAAAAAAACAGAAGTGAGCAACAACAAAAAACAAAACAGGAAAAAAAAAAGCAAAAAAAGCGCTCCACAATACAAGGGTTTACAACAGTGAGCAAAACTCGGTTTCTTACATTGAAATACTCCTGCCATTGATGCGAGTGTTCTGCGACAGATTGCTTCAATCCAATGAAAACGGGAAGGCGCTCGAGGTCACCCACAGACTCCCAAACCTGGAATAATGATAAAAGGGTGGCCACAATTTACTTCTAGTGAGACGAAGATAAGCTTCGGCAGCAACAATAGTAGCAACAGTCGTAGTGTGAAATAATGATGCGCCGATTAAAGACTAGCATTGTTATAATTCCCATCAGGGAATAACGTCAATGGTCACAGAAAATATTCACCCCTTCCAGACGATGACAAACGTGTTTTGCAAGCCGTAAAATGACTTTTGTACGTCATTTACTATTACGTTTATTGTCACCTATTTGAAACACAATTTTAAGATCTTGGGATTTCGATCAACATAAAGGACCCAACTCATAAAAAATTGAAGTCGCATTTCAGCACAAACAAAATTAATTTCAGTAAGAAGAAACATGGATGGTTGAGAATGGAAAAGATTGCAACGGAATGCAACGAAATTGAAAAATTTGGAATACACTATTTGAGGAACAAAAATCGTGACACAAACCTTAAATAAGCCTTGTCTTCACGACATTGTTTTCCCAAACGAGAAAATGACCCACGGGATGGAAAAGCCCGAAGGATGACAAAACCAGCTGGATGGAAAGACCAGCAAAACAATCCCGCGGGATGAACACGTCAGCGGAATGAGAAGACCCGCACGATGACAATACCCACAAAAAACACCCGCAGAATGAGAAGACTGCGGGATGAGAAGACCCTCGGGATGAGATCACCCGCGAGATGAGAAGACTTACAACATGAGGAGGACCGGAGAATGAAAATGAGAAGAATGAAAATTGCCTACCTTATGCGTGATCCACGACGGCTTTAGCACTTCGCTTTCTTCTGGATGATCCAACTCGGACCTTCTCGAAACCTCAGTAAACAGCTGCCATTCGTCACGTGACACAGATCTACTGTTCATCAGTTTCTCGGCGGCCAGTAAGAATGCAAACACGTGATTGTCACCTGGGCAAGAGATTTATAATTTGCCAAAGCTACTTAAGGTGATTCCTCAGTATTGCACTGCGCATCCTGTACTGCGCATAAAAATAACGTAATCAGGCGGAATGACGCGCGCATTCTAAGAGCACGGTATTGTTTTTCAATTAATGGACAAAGGAAAGAGGTACGATGGTCTTTAGCCCTTGAATGAGCAAGTTGATCTATAGTTTTTCTTGGGTAATTTTTTATTATACAAATTATAAAAAAAAATTCATCAAAGGGAAAAATTTTTACAGCTAAAGGCGTGTAAATTATGACCTTGAAAGCAACGACTCGAGGAACTTTGTGAGACGATGTCGTATCGAATTGTCTGATTTTTCCACGAACTACATATCAAATTGTTCTATACGCTCGAGGCTTTCTGCCTATTAAGTTTCTTTTCAAGTGTTACTTTAGAAACCCTTGCTACCAGCTACCGCGTAATGGACCGTGAACCAATGACAAGACGCACGTGATAAGTGCCAGTACAGGCGTAAGTGAGGTTAATTCGGCCCATCATATCTCTATGGTGATCTATCTTTTTTATTGTCAGAAAAGTTTAAAAAAATGGTTCGATAACTATTTCTTCTGAGGATTCACCTTAAGAGACGGACCATCAATTTAAATTAATCAATTAGCCAAAAAGGTACAATACAAAATTCTCCGTTGTGTTCCACATTTTCATTTCACCAAACTGCGATAAGGTCGCTTTAAAAATGTCTCCAAACCACCTAACAATTGATGTGCATCTTAAGTACCTTACAAACATGACCAATTAGCTCTTGCTGTAAGAGAAAAGTCAATAATTTTTCCCAGTTTTTTTTTTTAAAATAGATATCTTTTTCCAGGTCTTTTATTTGCAAATTACTTAAGGATCTCATTGCGAACCCTTGATAAGGATAGCAAAAAGAACATAAAAAATTTATCAACAATAAAAATAACAAAAGATAAAAGAATGACGCCTACTTTGAAATAGACTCCACGAGGTACGATCAAATATTTTCCTAGACAGAGCAGTGATGAGTTCTGCTGCTCTGGCAGCCGGTGACCCGCTTCCTTTCTTTCCGCGGTTCCTCTCGACTACAGTGTCGCGGAAGAGCTGAATGAATAACTCCAGTGGAAAGCGATAATAAGGATGAAGTTCACGCAACTCGTTAATAACCGAGAACAACAATGCTCCATGTTGAGCCACAGGAAGAAAATCATTTTGCTTCGCTAGTAGGTCTGTTTTCATTACCTGAGTAGGAAAAAAAGAAAGATCATACCGATGGAACCCTTAACTTTGTCGAACCAGCGCTTCCCCCGTTTCCTTAACTGCCACAGTCACATTCAGTTTCTGCAGCTAAAAGTGATTCAAGACATATTAGCGAAATCGAAAAACGTTTCTCCGACTTCCCCATATGTTTCTGGATCTCTTGTCTTCTATGAAGCTGTTTCTTAAGTGTTTGACAGTTGTCTCTAATTTGGAAGAAACCTTTGAACGGGGACAAGTATGGCTAAGGGTAGAGAGAATTTTTTTGTTGTCCAACTATGTATTTGTCTCGTGATGGTTCATTAACGCAGCCGAGCAAAAAAAGGAATTGAAAAGAAAACCACTGCTACACCTCGCGGATACGGGCAGTTCCTTCTAGAGAGAGAGCGCGGACTCTCCCAATCCGCGAGGGTAAGTAATGAAAATAAAACAAATGAATAATGAATAAATTGCATAAGCTGGTGAACACATTCGTGAAGAGAAAAATTGGCTCACCTCAGCTTCGCGGCATCTATCTTCTGCCATGGATATCAGATCTTTACTCTGTGTCACCGCATCCAGCATAGCAGAGTCTTTCAGCAGAGGACCACTAAGGTTCAGAACCTTCTCAAGGATGTTCTCCTACCCAAAAATAAAGGTGGAATCAATGGTAAGTACTAAATGACAATAATATTGATTTGGCAAACCGATATATGAACCAAGCAATACACTATCCTGGGTTTGCAATGTAATTCTGGATCAAAGAAAAAAGATAGAACAGAAGTATGGTGAAAGAACATCAAACCTTGGCATTATTGATCTGTTGCTTATGAAGACCAATATCCCTGTCGATCGATCTCATCTGTCCGTCGAACTCTGGTCTTTCAAGCTGTAACGTGTCCGCTAGCAGCACGTCGCAGATTCCCTCCCGGCTCACACTCATGTTGATGGTACACGCCTTGGAAAATGGAAGCGGACATTGCCCTTCACCAGGTATGAACAAAGGCAAGGTAGAACTGAGGTAGAGCCGGAAGGAAGGGCTATAATCCACGACAGTCTTGCCAATAATCACCTGAAGATTACCCTCAGTGTTGGTGAAGGTTTGTCGAGTAAGGAGCAGCTCCAGCGCTTTGTTCCAGCGTCGTCTTTCAACGTGGGTGACCAGTGTCACTAGTCCTTTCTTGACAGCGGCTTGTAGTTTTTCGACTAAAACAGTGTAAGTAGTTAGTAAATTCAAAATAAAAGTTACACAAGGATAATGAATAGTCTTGATTGATACTTTCGATCATCTCGCCGTATTTCCTAGCACTGATCTGAAGGTACAACCTCTTATATTAGCATCGTGGGATATCTGTTGTTTAAAACTAAAAAGCTCTTTGACTGCTATTTTCGGTGCGATTCTACGGATATAAACGCAAGGCACTCTATAGCTTTTATTGATTATTATGGACTTTCTTTCTTCTCAGCACATTTCTTAAAGTGAATACACATCAGAGTCATTGGGATTGATCACTTTGTTGGATTTAATGTATATTGCTTATAAGTGTCATCACATATAAATAAGAGTCGATCGAGTAGATTCAATTATCAACCTCAAAACGTTGAATCAGAAAGTCGGCAACTCTCTAACAATCGCTAAGCGAGGAAATTGGAACTGACAAAACAACACCAGCGGATTATCAAGTCAGAAATTATTATTTACCTAGTAAAGGATCATCAGCTGAAACGACAAGGATTCGTCCTTCACTCAAAGTTAACACTGGAGAGGTACCAGGTGGTATCGGCAGAGGACTGCTGTCAATCTAAAACCAAAGAATGCTAGTCATATGGATATAGAAATCATATGGATATAGAGATATATATATATCATATGGATATAGAGATATATATATATATATCATATGGATATAGAGATATATATATATATATATCATATGGATATAGAGATATATAGATCAATGAAAAGAACGAGAAACCAAGTTTTGTATGTTGAAGAATATGAAGGACAAAAGACATCAAGGGAGAAGAAATCCATGTCTTTACATTGATAACACAAGCCTTGACCTTTATTGGAAATTACCGACGGCTCAAAACTGACCAATCACGACCAACTTACGCTACTTAAGTTTCTCCATCAACATCATCACAGCAGATCTGACCAATCAGTTTATACGAACCAGACTTAAGACATCAACTGAACACAAATTTTCACTCGACTCTGATGAAGAATCCCGCCGAGGTTGTCGAAAAGTCAATGTCTCTAACTGACAACATTCCTAAGGACTACTCATACCCGTACGATCAGACTACAAGATCACAGGTTGAAATACATAACACATTTCTGATTTATTGCTCGCCATTTAGGATCCTATCATGTCAAATATACTGCATATTGTATCATTGAGAAACCTACACGTTTCTTAGCTTATTGGAAATACTCTGACACCAATCTGATCGGTTTTTATGAGTTGTAGGTTAAAAAGCCGTCACAACATTATATATGGTGTAAACTGTACCTGTATTCCCATGGCTTCAGCCAGTTTCTCTTTCAACATCTTGTCACTCGCGCTCGTCAAAGCGCTGCCTGCTGTGCGCTCCGTCCTAGAAGTGGCTTGTGTCTCCGTCTCTGGAAACCTGGATTCTTGATCGTCTAAAAATAAACAGACAGGTACAACTCGCATCAGTCAGTACAAGGCGAGATATCTGCCATTCGCCAACAGAATGTTCTAAGTTAAAGGGCAATACCTCATAAAAAAAGTCAGTCAGGTTGTATCATATCATGTAACTTTAAGTGTCTATCAGTCCTGAATTACTTTTACTACGCATAAGCTTTTCTAACCAGCGAAAATCCTCTTTGCTTCTTATATCACGATTGAATTGTGGTCTAAGTTTAAATTCTTTTCTTCAAGATGACCCTTTCCCAAGACATTCACTCAAAGAATTAATCCATCAATACTCATGTCTGAGATGAAAAACATCGCTATTCTTTTGAAGTGGGTGAAAATTAGTACAGAACTTATTTCAAATTGGTTCACGTGATTGTACATTACCATTTTCTCTCAAGGATTGTAGAAACTGATCAACCTCACTGTCGAAGTGCTGCGGATCAGCTTCAAATTCTTCCTCAGATGCCTGTTGAAGATGAGGATAATGAAGAGTCGGGAAGGCTTCCATGTCAACGGATGAGCCTCCGGATAGGCGAGAGGACCGCCCTGACTGTCTGGTGTCTGGACGACTACTGGGAGCACGATCCACCGCTTCATCTACTTCAAGAAAGGTCTTGATTAGAATTTCTTACCATGGCATTACAGTGCAAATACTTTAAGCGAGTCAAATAAAGATGTATCAATGGAAAATAGAATTTAGCTTAGTCAGCCGAAGGAAGGTTTGGATTGTAGCCTCAAAATTTGAGAACATATGCAGACGGAAATTTGATGCACACAGGATATTGTCTAGTATTATTTTTGTTGACTGCCTGTTGAAAGTGTTTTAGTATTATGCGATGTGGAATGGTAAATACCATTCTGGATCTTTCTGAGACTTTTTGGAAGCTTTCAAACAAACTCGACAAGAGGTCTTTTAGATTTCTTTCAGGCGACTATCATCATTATAGATAAATTTTGAGTAAAGAACTATCGATATTATCTTATCATACTGTATACCAAATTTCCAAGAAAAATAAGATCTTGAGTTCACAAGAACATACTGACTCAAGTTTCAGTAACGAGTAACCACATGTCCTTTCGGAGGACTTTTTGTGTGAAACTCAAGCAGCAGGTTTGCAAACAAACAATCAATTAAAAAAATTGTTACAAAGGACACTATTATCAATCATTTACCAAAGTTCAACACAGAAAACTCTGTTTGAAGCAATTCTACTCTAATGAAACTTATGGTCTGACTGAAGCGAAATTTTTTTTCATATTATCCTCCGGCGGGTGCTTTACTGAGGTAGCCACCCACTTCATATCTTATTGAAAGAACTGAGTAAGCTAAGTGTAGTTCATGAAGAGGAAACTTAAAGGTAAATTTCCAAGGAAAATATCATTTAAAAAAAAAAAATAAACATAAAAACTAACAATCAGGGCTCGTTGTTCAAGAACCTGCGGTCATTACAAGGTGCATTTCTTTGAGAAAATTATAAAAAGGAATCGCCGGAGAAAAACTAAAGGAAGTCAGTCAAAGTTTGAAATAAAACTTCAATAGCTTTATCATCTTTTTACCCACAGATACATGTATAAGCAGGTTTTAAAGAAAAGATTTATACCAGAACACTAACAGTACACATATGGTTCGGAATACCTTGATGCAGTGCTCTTATCCATAACTCAGCCTGATTATGAGGATCAATCAACAGTGGCCATGCGCGTGTTCTATCATCCCCACAGCTTCTCAGTATCAAAGCGTTATTTACCGCCTGTTCATTGGTGGGCAGGTCATTTCTCCTCCAGTCCTCTAATTCGTTGGGAGCCGCCAATATCGCCTTCAATGACACGTCCTCTCTGACAGGAACAATGTTCGTGGTTATGGTTGATACCAAAGTGGATTGTGTAGCAGGACGGGAGTCCCTTCCTGTGTAAACATACGGTACATAAGCCTCAGTAACGATTTGTCAACTAAGTAACAATAAGCAATTGCTTTTAAGGTAAGTTATCCTATTAAGATATTAGTAACCGTCATTTCCATAAGAGAAAATTCCTGAACAACCCCTTCCACTATACAACATACGCACTCTATTCAAATAAGACATTGCACCCAAGTCTCCTTACACAAGGATTAGAAATTTTGGTGTTTAATGCAAAAAGTAAGAAAATGATCATCTTTGATGTGTTTATCCCGAATTTTGTTTAACCTAAAAGGTAGCAACGCCAGGCTTACCTGTCTCACTGTCATCATACTTGCATTCCTTTCGGGAATTAGCAAGTGACACGGACGATAAAGTAAGAAAGCCTTGACGAGGCGCTCGGGACACCCCGTCACACACCCTCAGCCAATCAGTGAATAATTCATCACGTGCTTCAGGGATAAGTGGACCCAGGTAACATACTGCGGCAGCCGTTACTAGGGAATCTCCAAGTGCTGAAGTCAGATGCTGTTGGGCGAGCAATCGACCACTGTGCCAGATATTAGAGTAGGAGGATAGGCTGTCGAAAAGCGCATCTCCTTTGGATTTGATTGTTTCAATGTTCTGTGGAGAAATTTTACTAATTTTACTTTTGATCTCGTAAAACTCTTGCCTTGCAAATTAAACCAAACAAAAACAAGTTAACTAAGGGACCTTAGAGAAAAGGTTCACCGAATAAATGGCTGACCTCTGGTTGATCGCCATGGTTTGAGTTTGACAACAGAGTTAATAAAGGGGGTAAGTTTCTGAAGAAACTGTGGTGCTGCGTCGATGGGAGAGTATAACAGGTAATTTAATGTTAACAACTGAGTTAAAAACGTAAATTGACCACCGTAAAGAGTTTAAAAGCTGACGTATCGAGCGTTAGCCCTTCGTCAGAGCGATGGAGGTTTACAGTGGTCAATTTACGTTTTCAACTCAGTTGTTGACACTTACTTACCTGATAACAGAGTGATAGGATTAATCCTTATCATGATTTTCATCAACGACAAGTAATGCTGGCATTTGTCGAAAATCACCATAAATTGCAAATAGTGGGTAAAACCGAAAAAAAAGAGTCACTAGGAAAATCAACGCGAACATTAGGAACAAAACTACGGTGCAACTGCTCTAACATCGGGATGAAGTTAGATAACCTACTTGAATCTGTTTTTCAACTGTCCTTGAATGCTTTACACTCTCTTTGTACCGCTGGATGTTCGACTCAAGCTCTTGTTTGATGGCGTTGCATCTCACTCTCATCTCTCCCAGAATGGACTTTGCCTTCAAAGTCGAGAACAAACAACGAATTAAAGAAAGAAGTGAAAACTTTATCACAAGCGTGGATCAAAGGTAGCATCCTGTTCCCAAGAGACTTCACAGATTTCGCTCACCAGCGAAGCCACATCCTTGGTAATATGGAAAAAGTTAATTCGTCCAATGGAGACCATATTTTAACGAACAATTTCATATCAAGAAGAATACGAACATTGCTGAAGAACAGAAATAACAGGGCGTGTGATATTTCTCGGACTGTTAACCTGATGTGGTATTGCAAGCAGGTTCAAAATACTCGATCTTGGTGTTCTTCAAATGCGATGACGTCACCTTTCAAAATGTGCGTATTTTAGCATGCATCAGACGTAACTCATAATGCACTGTCTACAATTCAATGAATTCACCATGCTCTTTGACAGTTTTTAACTTGGTACCACCTGTTTTGCGAATGTGAAGGAGAATAAATCACTTCGCAAGGAACAGATCGCTGCTTTTTACTTTCAATTTTAGTTTGAAGGAGGAAAGGTAAAGTGGCTTTGCTTACGACAAAGCCACGACCACAAAGTTTATTGGGGCAAGTTAAACTGATCTCTTCACTTTACTTGTTAACAACACAACCAAAAGTTCTAAAAAATTAACCGCTTTTCCCGATTTTCAATACCTTTTCAAGTTCCTGCTCTGCTTTCTCCAACTGCTGCCGTTTGGGTTTTAGAGATCTGTTCACTAAACAGAAATCATAAACAGCTCGCACCCACAAACACAAAGACCTGGCGGCCATACTTCCATCTTGGACAACATCTGCTTGGAATAACGGGTTATAGTAGAACGTTTTGAGTCCTTCAAAAATAGAATCCCGCATTTCGGCCATGTTGTAAAATTCCAAGTCTTTAAAGAAGTTGTTTCGGTTGAGTAGAAGCTTTCCTTCCTCCCACCTGAAACCAAAATAAAGAAATAATGTTAGGTCAATAGACTGATTAAAATGGAAGAAGACCGATATTCTTAAGTGAGAGCTAGGCAAGCAGTACACAATCAATAAAAAGTTGTTTCCAAACCAACATTGAACTGAGAGGACTTTCTGTCAAAAAAAATAACTGTGCAAACTATTCCGACAAACAACTGAAATAACAATAAGCAGACAACAATAATAAAGGAAACCAAAAACATCAACAAAAACATCATCAAAAACAAACAAACAAAAAATAAAAATTGCAAACGATCTAACAAATTATACCGGAAAATAAACAAACAAAAACACATCACCCCTTGTTGATCTATATTCTATCAAATACATGCATTGGAAAGGGAATTCTCAAAAAGATGGTGGGGAATAAAATAAAAAATTTTGTAAGAAGGGCACCATGCTTGTCTGACGAGACAGTCATTTTTTATTTGAATCAGGTTAAGGAAAACTATGGCCTGACATTCGGGGAGAAGACCCTGAGCTGAAAGATTTGCGTGAAGCGCATACAACTGCCTGAGTACTTATTCCTCGAAAGTTACACCAAACCATAGATCTGGCATTTTACGTAGAAAGCCCAAAATTCAACAAAAGCTACGGAAGATGAAATGACGAACAGGTTGGCGAAGGTTTTCCAACTTACGTCTGTTCCTTTTCAAACATGAGGCAAATTGCATTCACAACAAGGGTAACCAGCGCAGGTGGAGTTCGGTAACTTCTGATTTCCTCCAAGTCGTGAATATTTAATGAGTCGATAGCCTTCCATGCCGCATCAAATAACGGGTTGACCTTGAAAATAAAAGGCAGGACTTGCTTAGGTCTGACAAAAGCTATTGTGTCATTTTACTTAAAACCAAACCGCGAATTTCACAGAAGGACTGAACGTCTATCAAACAAGCAAACCAATTAACTTAAAGTTTTGAGAGTCAAAATTCTTCTTCAGAGAAACAGATTGGCATGTGCAGGGAAGTGAAATTCTGGAAGTCGCTTCATAATGTGTACAACGGGATAAACTCCAGTGGCAAGGTCAATGAGGCTTTTACGACGTACACAACCCAATTTGAACTAAGATTTGTAAGAAACAAATAACTGTCCACACCTTTTCAAATTCTGCTTGTGCCTCCTTCCTGAGGAGCTCTATAGGTATCTGCATGTCCTCGATGTCCTTTTCTTGCTTCTTACACCTCTCCATTGCGGCAGTGTACTCCTTCTGACACGCTTCCACAGTCTCCTGCCTCAACTGCACGTCCGTCTTGGACACTTCGAACACTGGAGCAAGGCTATTCAATTCTTTCTGCATCTTGTTTAAGCTGTGAGTAGCTTCCTCAACCCTCTTAATCGCCTTGTCAAGATGAGCCACCACTTCCTACAATGAAATGATACGTAAGAAATGATATGTTAGTTGGGATGACGGCTGTCTGGAGAGTGCTAAAGAGCGAGGATACCCGAAAAAACTAAACTCAGCAAATGGATTGGTATTTTCTGTGTCCCACCCGGATTTCCGAGAAAAGTGGTACTTCACAAATTAGCATGATGGAGATTATCCAAGCTTGTAAGAACCATTTAGTGATACAACACTGTACATTCTCCTACAGGAGTAGCTTGATTCTCTCTCGCCAAAGCTCAGTGCAAGGGTTCCTGCTCATAAAAGCTACAGGTCTGAGCACTGTTACTCCCACTCTCACCTTTTCTTTCGCACATAACCTTCTGCAGATCTTCCGAAATAAGTCTACAAAATCCAAATACGTATCAGGCGAGTAAAATTTTAACGCCTTGACCCCGTAGATCCTTTCCGCCATGCTTCTAGAAGACAGATGAACGTGAGCCATTATTGAACATATGGCCACGGATTGTAAGTCTCGCTCGCGTCTTTTTAATGGTACAAGACTAAGCACACTTTCTTCCTCATCGAGCAACTTCTCTGCCACACTAACAAGCGCCTCGTGCGGCCAAGCCCTATAGACATCAACACAGCAGCTTCTTTTTACCAAGGATGGAAACTTGTATAATTGATTCCTCTCTAAGGAATTGGACAAGTCGAGCTTTTTGTATTTCAAACAGACGACAACGTGGATGTGTGATTTGACGCGGCGGAAGTATCGGTCTTGAGCAATATCTTGGTTTTCTACTCTGCGTGCACCTCTTTTTCCTCCAGGAAGAAGCTGGTTGGAGATCATGAACAGCTCATTATGTGTATAGAGACCTGGACATGTCCCTAAAATAAAACAACAGAAAGAAGTATGAGTATGGACGATATGGGGCTACTATGATTACTGTCAATCGTAAGGCAAGAGTTAACCTGTAGCAGCACAAAAGCATAGCATAAACCAACAGAATTCCAAAACTTGGGATTTGAATAATTTTTCTCTAATAATTAGTTAGTTAAAAGCTATTTTGTTTTCCAGCAGTGAGTCACAATTCTTTACCTTCTGCCATTAGTGAGCAAATGTCCTGCATGGCTTCATCATCAACGCCTTCTGGTACAAACAACACTACGGGTTTCCCTTGAAGCCCGGCAATAAATGATGCCACTTTGATCTGTTGTCTGAAGTCCTCCTGGTTCTGAAACTGGCTGCGCTGTAGCTCTATCAACTGAAATGAGAGACGCAAAAAGAAGTGAGGGCAATTCAGGAAGGAATGGTGAAAATTCATGATTTTCAATGTAAGGCACTACTACTACGTGAGAAAAAAAAAAAAGCAGGGAGAGTACAGTGGGAGAACGAAACAAGTCAGGGAACAAACAGACGCAGAGAAACATGAATAAGTAAACGAATAAGGGATCAAAGCAGCCAACGACCATCAGGCCGATTAATTAGAACTGGAACACTTTCTAAGTAATATGCACTTTTTTGTTACGACAAAGTGACATCCCTGACAGAGGAAAGTCTTTGCACAAACCTTGCAGCAAGCTGCGTGTGCAGTGAGCCTTGTTAGGGTCCTTCGTCCGTAACCAAGATCCGATAGCAACAGAGAATGACCTCCTGGTGTGGCCTGGGAAGAGAAAACATTGATTGTCATTATTGCAACTTGACTAATCACACGCTACTGGACAGTTTACAAAATGAATGCAGAGAAAGAATAGGGGAGCTGGGGGAGGGCGGAGAACTCACCAATGCTCGACTCAAACGCGCCGCATGATGAAGTGCCTCACGAAATGTCACCAAGTTCATGATTTTGGCACTGGATGATTCAGCCACCTTGTCATTATATGACACTAGACATCTCTTTATCCCTTGTTCCAAGATGCTCTCAGCACACTCCAAGTAGTTCTTGCTTGCAACTTCGCTGGCGCTACTTTCTCGTCCGGTCACAGACACATTGAAATGCTTACAGAACACAATATCTGTGAGATCCTCTCCAGAGAAAGCCAGCTGCTCTGATGAAATCAAAGGACCATTGTAGTTCTTGTCGTAGCTCGCACCACTGGTGTCGTCAAACGTGACCTTTACTCTTGCAGGCTGATGGACCACAGTGTTTGCTATCAAACTCTGCTCTCGACTTAGCGTTTCGTCTTCGGGAACTTCTCCTTCACCTAAATTTTCATCATTTCCATTTTGTTTTTCAGGAAGAATTTCCCTGTTCGTGACATCCTTTTCTGTGGTATCTCCAACAATTTCATCGAAATCCTCCCCTGGTTCAGGAGTTTCTTGAGTGGGAATAGCATCAATATCTCCTTCCTCTCCAGCGTCTTCATCGCTCAAGTCTTGCGGTTCACGACCTGGTACAGCTAAGGAGTCGTCCGATTGTAATAGTGCCTCAGACTCTCCTATGGTTTGGATCTGTTCGTCACTAGTCGTAGGTGGGGGAGCATTTCTACCAGGCAAAGCCTCTGAAATAAACAAGATAGCGTTGTTCTAAAAACCCTCAATTTAGAAATGAAGCCAAGTGAAAAACCTTTCTTGCGAAAATGACTTGCATACAATTTACTCCCATTTTTCACGCCAATAGTCTTGCACCTACTCCCGCCTTTAAACAAAGGAATTATGCATCCTGAAAAAAGTCTATAGCATGATAGATCCCTAAGCCATTTATGACCATTCGATCGCCATAGAGAATCCACCAGCGAATGTGGCCACCAACTGAGTTCATATTTGACATGGGTACCGCATAATGGTGAGATTTTTTAAGTCGAAAGCGTCATGTGTGAGGCGTTAAGTACTAGAACAACGACACGGCATCAACAAGCACCATATTACATTATGTACCTTGAGAGTTCTGCATCACGGATCGCTCAACAGAGAACACCTCGGAGCCCAGGTCCGAGGCAGTCTTACAGAAAAACTCCTCAACGGTCTCGTGCAACAAAGACGAGAACCAGTAGCGCTGTTCCTCGGTTAGAAGGCGATCACTATAGGTTCGAGTACTTTCGTGGCACCACAAGCGAAGGAGAGAACGAATCATTGGTGACAAAGCAGCGGGCGTCTTCGCGGACATTCCGGACTCTACCGGGCCGTTTGTGAGAGAGGGCCAACTAGAGTAAAAAGAAGAGAACTCATAAGAGAATGTAGGACCACGAGGATGTCTCAAGTAAGATTCGCCGGTCTCGAGATAGAATAGGTGAATTTGAAACGCCTACTCCGTCTCCATGATCTATGTTAGTTTTAATGATTTGTACAAATGGAAGCCGATTTAAACTGATCCAAGATAGAAGGCGATATTATTTTGATAAACAGGATTGACTCAAATGCTAGGTAAGATTATACTATATTCCCCCTGAGGACGGATAGTGATGTAATTAGCGCGTAAAATTGTGAATATGACATTTCCTTCGCCTCGCCAGTCACAAATAATGAAGGCTCGTGATTTTCATTGTCCTTCTCTGACGATTTCAAAGTGATAGGTCCCTATTAGCTTTGAATATTGTACAACACGACAATAAGAAGTCTACAATCTTATGCACCTTCGTCCTCTACCAACATTCCCTCTACGCTGTGACCTCTCCTTTCCATGAATACTGGACTCACTCTTCACATCGCCAATGGCTTCAGCCTTCGCTTCCCCCTCCAAGTCGTTTCCTGTGCCAGCTCGCCTCCTCGCACGAGGTCTTGGACGTCCACGGCTCTTAGACGAGAGGAGGGACATACCCTGCGCCACCCTAGACAGCTCGTGCTGGGTAAACAGGAAATGAGGATGAAGCGGGGTAGGGCGAAGTTCCCTTTGAATGGTGTTGGACATCTTAATGGACGCCGACGACAGCGCCTGTTAGGGAAGCAGGTGAGGATATATAGATATCGCTTTATGTTCAAAAGGTAAGTAGGCGCAAACTGGAAGGTAGCCACCACAAAATTACTCTCATCGCGTGGAAAAACGAATGACGTTATTAATGACACTGACTGACACCGAAAGTTGACACTAATACTTAAAATGACAATTACATTAAATGAGGCTGATGCTGACGGTTACGTCGACACTTTCGTTGTCACCAACACAATAATTCTGATGTTTGCATTTCCACTGAGACTGAACTGACACTGATTCTGATATATTCAGTTCCACTGAGACTGAAATGACACTGACACTGATTCTGATAATGTCACTGACTCAAATATTGACAGAGACACCAGCACAGACAGACATACATACAGACAGACACAGAGATAAACACTGCCACCTCCAAGAAGCAGTATTCGGTTCTCCCTCTCTCTTACCTTGGCCAAATGCTCATGGTGGCTTATCGAATACGCTGGAAACTCTTCCAACCAGGTCTGAAATACTGACGAGTAAATATTCTCCAGTGACTCAGAAGACAAGGGAAAGAATGACAAGACCGTCATCAGCCTAGACAAGCGATGGCTGATGGCATATGAAGCTACCCCTCCACAAGACGAAGCCGCACCGGGAGGAACACAGGCGGCCATGAACTGGAGGTGTTGCACCCTATACAGGTGATGTCTCTGTTTGTTGTACAATGTTCCTAAACGAAGAAGACAAATACGCAAATATCTCAACAGGAAGCTGTGGTCTGCACAGCTGAAAAGTAGTGTTGGGCGCATTGTTACAAACGTGGGCGGAATTCTTCTGACAGGCGGCTAAGATAAGTTAACTTTGAATTACTGATAAAATAATAATTAAGTAACGAAATGCTGTTCCTTCGTAATAGCTGGATAATAGCCTTGTTTATTACGGAAAACGGATGTCTGGAAAATGTGTCGCGCTTGAAAAAAATCCTACCAAGGGGGAAGGGAAGAAAGCGACATAATTTAAAGCCTCGGGAAAACTTTGACCCATCTTCGGCCAATTTGACCCCTTCTCCATTCAATAACGCAAATATACGTTACTCATGCCCAAACATACCAAATAATTACCTTGTGAGAGGATTTGTCGGAGAAGTTCAAGTGGAGGCTGAATTCCGAAATTATCAGAGGCGGCGTAGTTGAGATCATCAAGAAACATAAGATGAGCGCGAGACTTTGCAACGGGTAGATTCTTCGGAGCAGCAGCTCCTGGTATCGCCTTTGTAAAAGCTAACTGGGTCATCTCCTTCCGTTGAATTTGCTGAAGCTTATGTTCGATCGCCTCTTGGAGCAGTTTCGAGGTCAGGCCAGCGGATAGACAGATTCGTGTCGAGTTATAGCGTGGGTTGATCAAGTTCTGGAAAAAATGTAATGGTTCACTGTGCGAATACCATAGAGTGAGTTATTTTAAAGACCACACAACTGGAAACATTACAAACCTGCACTAGGGAAGACTTTCCAATTCCTGATGGACCAACCAGCAGCAATGGCTGATGTGCAGATAACATAAGGTCTATTAGGTAAAAATAGCGATCCAACTGAAAAGTAAAAGAGAAAATAAACTTAGAAAAACGTACATAAACATTCATAAACAAAAAAAAAGACAGCTAACGCTTCCTGGACCGAAGGCAACCGAATTTACCATACGGATAATAAAGGTCATGAAGTTATGATCCAAATGACACAAAATGAATCTTCTTAGGTAATCAAGCTTCTAAACCACGAGCATTTAAACTTCAGCCACCATTCAGACAGAGGACTTTTCAAGATAACAGCTGAGTGTGTGGTGCGTTTGTGAACAGATTGCTCAATCACATTCTGTATCGATTATTTCTTAAGGATGAGCTGCGTAGTGTGGCGATGTATACTTATTTGGGTTAATAAAAACTACAGTAGGAAAAGTCTCATTATAGTTACCTCGGTAACGACGGTGTAAGATGAGGGTAGTGTCTTCAGTTGTGATCCAGGTCTTCCCTCCCACTTTACCAAGCCACCTTTACTGAAATCTAGGCAGTAGTCGTATACTGATCCATCAGGAGGTATAAGGACTGGATACGGGCCAGCAGACAACAGCTGCCGAGTATGCTCATCAAACTTATCAGCGCATCTTTAAAACACAAGCAAATGACAACAAGTCGATTTATACAATATTCAATAGTATATAAGTAAATATTTGGGTAAACATAAAGACAATTGAAAAGCCATTTCTGGTGAAAACGTTAGGGTTCACTCAAAAGATGCTTTAGCTGTTTGCGTCGGAGTTGTGCGTAGTCTGGCATAAAGAGATTTGATTATTGGCCTCAACACTTGGGTAAAACTGACACTAAAAACGATTTCGTAACTTGCACGGCGAGTGCTCAGTTCGAGGAAGCGAGTGCAACAACAAACGATATGCTTCTGTTTTTCCATGAAAAAAAGACGAGATGCAGAATCGCAGATATGTCTGCTAATCCCAAGACGATACCAGATGGGAAATTCCCAAAAAGGACGATGAGTGTCCAAAGGGGAAAATATTGCTTGTGGTTAAGAAATACCTTTCGTGCAAATGACCGCCAAAAGCCCAAATGAAGGCGAAAGCAAAGGAACTAATGACCCTTCCTGTGTCACTGGCGGAAATTCCTGAGCTGTGCCTGCTGCTACCAGAACTCACGGAGGTCTGTCGGTTCCTCTGGTTTATCATCTGGATCTGACTGTCTTCATCCTCTCGTAGGATGTGTCTATCGTAGATGGCGGAGAGGTAGCGTAACAGTGACTGTACTTCATGCACCCCTGTGGCTGTCTTGGAGGGCTTGTTTATGGAGCTGTACCCAGAGGTCAGTATGGATTCACAGTGATGACTAAGGAAGTACAGTGTAGAATCCACCACGTGATCCATCAAACACGAGATGATTCCCAAACTGAAATTGAAAGGAAGCCATTAAAATAAACAATAATGTTTCGATTGCAGGAGCAAATGGCCCTCATTGGAATAAAATTCTGGTCCCAGTATCATGGGGCGAGCTATATGCAGTTTCCATTCTTGCAGCAAGGATCTTCTAGGAGTTTTTCGGTTTCCCTCCTTACGCAAAAGGCAATTAAAATAAATTCCAACACAACTAAAGAAGTCCACTTACCCTCTATTTGTGATCTCCCAGCGCGTGTGCGCCCCCTTCAGCCAGGACCTAAAAATTGGTTTCCATCCCACAAGTGATTGAGGACAGTAGAGCAGACCACAGCGTGTTACTAATGCTGGAGATACATGGATTATTTCTGTCACCTCGAAAAGAAGTGTCACAGTTTCTGAAAGAAGCGAAAGTAAATTAAAGTAATTAAAGCATGGTGTTAGGATACGTTCCTTTATTTCTTCGTCTGATGTGGTTAGGGAGGGAGCACAACGATAGTCCGCTTTAAGCGACCGTTCATTATAGGTTGAAGACAATGGAATGAGGCTGTTGGGACTTAGTAGAGGGTGGCCAAGACCGCTTAACAGAGGTGAAAATTACAATGCGGAGATGGAATTTCGGGATTTTGACAACCGACTGCTTAATGCTGGTTCGACGGTAACTTTGTCTTTAAGAAAACACCCAATGGTGCCCTTTCGTTTCCCACGGCCTTACACTGAGGCACTCTAAAGAGCGATATCTGTTATCAGAAACACTGCCACAATTTACTTCTTTTTTTTTTTAGTTTGCTTGTTTGTTTGTTTGTTTGTTTGCTTGTTTGTTTTTTCTGTTTTTTGTTTATCTATGTTTGTTTGTAAGGGCAAAAACAAATTATTATCACATTTAAACATTAAAAATAACAACTTTTGCCTCCTCAAGTTCACAAAAGCCTTAAAATTCACCTGGCTGAGCAATGGATTCTCCGTTGGGCAAACTGAGAGCTCTAGTGGAATCCAACAGGGTCCCCATACTCTCTAGCCAAGCGTCATCCATTGGTCCGTCAAGCACTAGCCATTTCTTTACGTGAGACAGGGAACCCATCATACGAGCAATGCGTTGTTTTTCAGATGACTGGCTCGAAAGAAGCTCGGTCATGGTATCACACGTAAGAGTTGTGTCTCTAAGCCACTTAGACACCAGACCGTCCATCCATAGGTCAGTCTCCGGGTGTTGTCTTCCAAACAACTGCTCAAAACAATGAAATTTTATAATTAGAAAGGGAGCTAGGTCGCGCAAAATCCGGCAATGTAGACAAGCTGGTCATACAAATCTCCTAGGAGAGCATATTAAAGGATATACTTGAGCCCCAATTCCCCTTCGACCCCTGTCAGACCATCTCGTGTGTTTTGGCGAAGGAAAAATGCTCTAACAGCGCTTCCCTCCATCCAGACGTAGAAATTGATACCAGTAAACGGTCTGCCAAGGCTGAAGAATTGCTTTAAGAGGTGGGGGTTATTCCATTAT